TCAACAAAATATGATATAAAGAAAAAAATAATTTAATTTATTAAAATAATGAAAAATATATTATATATTTAAAAAAAATTATGTCAATAAGTTTAACGCAAATTATATACAACCTCTTTATTTATTATATTAAAACAACATAAAAAAATATTACTAAAAGATGATTGCTACATAATCCTCGAAAGGGGCAAAATTAGTGGCTTTTATATCCAGTATAAAGGAACCACAGATCTGTAATTTTTCTCGAATTAACAATACTCGGAACTTTTTTTTAACTTATAAAAACTTTTATTGATTATTTATCCAACTTTCGTATTTTAGAAAAGGATATCGTAATAATCGTCTTCATTTCATATAACGAATTAGTATCAATGTCCGATCGAGCGTCAGAGTCCAACATTTATAGTGCAAATAGAACTGCTAATAATAGAAGACCGTATTTCTGTCATCAATGCCAAGTTGACATTGAGCCTTTATTGGCTCCCAATCCAACCTGTCCTCGTTGCAATGGTGAATTCGTAGAAGAGGTTAGTATTTCTACAATATATTTACTGGTTCAGACACGACAGAAGGCACTAAAGAAACTATATCTGAGGCGGGTTGCCTCTTCTGATTCTTTTATTCAAATTTAGATTGTAGAAAATAATGATCTAAGGGAATTAATTGAGCAAGGTGCGGGGCATGAAACCGATGATGAATACGATGATACTCCGTATCCTTCGGGAAATCCTCAAAATGGAATAAACGAGCTTTTACAAATCATTCAGAGTATGCTCAGACCTAATGCTCCTGTGCGAGTACAGACAGAAAGTCGGGATGGTACAACCACAACAACTATAACAGCTACAGGATCAACAAGAACGACAACAACAGGAAATACTGCCCAACAAGATGAAGGTCAGAACACTAGTGATGACCGTGCATCTCCACCCTTTGACATTACACAGTGAGTTCTGTTTTTTAAATGTTCGAAAAATTATTTAGCCTTTATATCAAATTTTGTTGAAATAGTTGTCTATTGCAATTTTATTTATTGTTTTTTATGATTTCAGATTAGTTAGGATGTTAGAAAATTTTGGAGCAAACAACGCAGCAAATTTCATGAATATATTTAATATCGCAGGTGATCCAGCAGATTATGCATGGAGTAATACAGGATGGGATAATATCATCTCACAATTGATGGAACAACAAGCTGGGTACGATTGGTTTCATTAATTTTAATTAATACAGAAGTTATTTAAATAAATATGAAAATTATAAA